TCACTATATAATGGATTAAACTTCATCATTAATGGCCACAGCAATGGCGTAAAAAGAAATCAAGTCATAGATTTTTCCATTTAGTGCAGTAATTGATTTATTAATCTACCATCCTCTGGTTTAGTTAAATTCAAATATGGACATATCAAGCTAATTTATGAATGTGTAAACATAACTAACCAATACAGAACTTCTTTAGATCAACTTACATTTCCTCCAGCAGACCTAACAATGACTGACAGCATACTGGGAGGGGGTTGTACATGAGGCGAAAGCCATATATCAAGACCTTTAAACAATGCACTTGGTCTAGCTTTAGCTCTGAGAACTGCAGTTTCCAATTTGCACCTGTACTTAGTCCTGTAATCTTCGTCTTCCAGAATGAAGGGTGTTTCTTCTGCAAATAAGTACATTTTACGGTTGAGATTTGGCAAAAAGCATAAAGCAGAGAAGTTTCAGTTGCTGAAAGTGTACCAACAAATCCACCCTTCCTGAAGCTTTCTTTCAACCATCCAGATGAGACAACCCAGGCTCTGTATAAGACATAACTAATTAAACTGCCACTGTTTTAATGTCATATTCAATATTCAAATGATTAATCAGAATCGAAAACTGACCCTGAACAGAGAGCTGTACAGAAATTCATTGTCTTTCGAACTTTTCCTGTGACAACATGTGTGCTAGCACTTCCATCCAGAGCAACAACTCCACCCAGATCTTCAATTATCTATTTTTGCGAAATCACCGTTGGAATCAGCAAAATGTTATCAAACACAAGGTGTAGAGAAAATGTCAACATAGCATCTAGAGAAGGCAGTCAAAATTGTACAATGATATATATAATACAATTCATTTCCACATGTATCCCAAATCTAGTCACACTACAACATGGGTAATACCTTGGAGAGACGCGCCTTTTTCTCATCATCAGCAATGTTCATTAACATAATTCTATTACATTTTGCTGTAGAGGGTATTTCAGGGCGCACATACAAGTCTTCATTTCTGATATCAACCATTCTGCATTTTTCACTTTTTTCATGAGGGCTATGATTCCCAGAGTTTGTTCCCAAGCAGTTTCTATCATGGCAATTAGCAATTCTCTCATCACTAGTCCATACAAGACAGTGAGAGCCCAGCTGGCTATCACTATGGGTCCCCTTAACTTTTTTGGACTTCAATGAGGTGCATGAGGCTTCCCATGTCCTTTTCTTAGTATCCAGCGCTGACCATGAGCAATTGTCCTCATGATCTTCAATTCCAACATCATGTTTTCCTGAGGCATCAACCAAACTGCAACTTACTGCAAGTGGCAGAAGTCCTGCATCATGGCTAGCTACAAGAATGAATTTAACATGCAACTTAGAAGTGCGAATTAGGTCCAGAGTTCTTTGTGTTTATAAGCTTTTGCAACTTGTCTAAGTGATATCAATAGAAATTCATGGAAAATCAATGTTATTATTACTCGCCAACACCTCGAACACATAAGCAAAAAAATGTAGCTACCCCAAATTGACATACTTACCATTATCAAGTGTACATATTCCATTCACTAACTTCTCTGACTCAGGACACCCAACTTCAGCTAGCTGGTCATCTTCTTCCAAAAGTTCATTTCCCTTTGCATTATTCCAGGGCTCTTGGTTTAGATAATCCAACTGAAGGGACTCTGTGGGTAAGCCTAGATTTAGAAGCTCCACTGGTTCGGACAAGCTATCTTTGAGAAGATGTGAGGCCATAAGGGTTGACCCACCAGGAAAACATAATGCCTTCCGGACGTCAGCCTTGATTCGGAGCCTGTGACCTCTGCCCTTTTTATCCACCTCACCAAGCACTTCAAATCCCTGTTCAAATGAATATGTTGTAGATTGAATTAGTTTGAATGAAGAAGCACCCACTGTGTTGACTAATTAGTTTGATAAATACCTGCTTGAGCCAAAATCCCTCAGATTCTTTGTCTCCCCAACAGAATATAGTTTGAATTCCTACATTCTGGAGCCTTTTTCTCAATTCCAAGTACAACAAGCGACCAATTCCCTGTAGTAATCAATATGAGGGAATTTTATAGCAAATGCCAACTGTACAAGTGTAATACAATTTTGCATGCTAATCCAGCAATAGGAGAACCATTTTAGGGAAAACAAGATTGCACTAAGTACTAACATTACTTGAAAGACACAAACCCTTGCAATATGACCCCAAACATCTTCATATGATTAATTCTTAAATATTCAATTTTTCATTGCTGACAATGCTAAACACTGGAGCCTGAATGGGCAGGTGCAGAATGCAACAAACCTTCCGTTGAAAGATTGAGCTAACGGCAGTAAGAGGGACCTCAGCATACTGTGAATCAACTGGAACTATTTGATAAGTAATTGCTGCAATGACCTATCAGGAAGGGAGGAAGAGGAAAACGGCAGAAGCAGAGAAAGCAGCAACTAAATTCAATATTATAGTAATGTATTCATTGAATCCATAATGTAATGTTTTATTTGAATCCAGAAAAAAACCAGAAGAGTACAAAGACAATTGATAGTTACAATGACTTATAACTAAAGTAATAATACCTCGCCCGCTTGACTATCATCCCTGGATTTCAGAACTAAGGTGCAATATTTCCTATAATTGAAATGACAAGATTCTTACTAACATTCTTTACACAGATACAGATAAATAAACAATTCAACAATGGCAGCTACTGAGAGGGAAATAAAAACAATTATAGTAGACAAGCTTAGGCATATTACAAGATCAAATTATATGCAAGTGTACTTACCCATTTGTAACACATCTTTCTAGGAACATCGACTCCTTTCCAGTATTAGAAGCATAGTTCATTGCGGGTAGCTCTTTCATGTAAAGAGAGAGAACTTCCTGCAACATTTGTAGGTATGCATAAATATAGATAGTGTCAGTCCATTCTCACTCAATATGACATACCACTAATCATGTAAGCCATAATGGCACTATAAGCACACACATGTATCCGCACGCAGATCTTAAACATACAACATAAACTGATTCAACATGCCTTTCTAAAATCTTGTGGCAGCTGCAGTTTAGCATGTGCACGTTTGAAGTTCAAAAATAATATCCCTCCCTATATATTAATTCAAAACGTGTGGAGCCTAGGTGGCAGATTTTCACGCTTCGGATGCTGACATGGCGAAAATCTATGCTTCGTGATGTTGTTTTTATATTATTTTTGCTCTGGAGTTAGGTTTGGTATTAGACATAAATAACTTTACACATATATTCATTAACTCAACACCCATGTTGTACATGGGTATTAATACTAGTACTATTTATATTTGGTAAAGTCTAACTAAAATGAACAAACTAAGAACCAAAATGAGACACTCCCACTGCTAAAGAAAGTTCAACAAAAATCCAGATTGTTATTACCCAGTGATGAAAACCATAAGAACAGCCTCATATGCACAAGCACATACGAACACCAAACGAAACATGGCCTTTAGCATTCACTTATCATAGGCCACAATTCACAAAATCAACAAGAAGCAGCCAAACAACACAATTACCAGCATTTAAATTGTGAAGTCGAAGGTTAAACCACCCATATATTACTCAAATACCTGGAGAAGGGACTTGGTTTCACCATCTGAATTTTTTGGATTAGCAAGAACAAAACAACCATTACCTGTCAGCAACAAAAAAATATAAAAAATAAAAACCCTCAATGTGTCACGACTCGCGGTCACCGCACGTAACGATAACTTAATCCCCGAGAGTGAAAGAGATGATCTAAACTACTAGGTATCATTACCAAGTTTCTTAGTGCTTCGACCTGCAAAATCGTCATGTTCTTTCACTTTCTCCACCACTGCAGCAAAAATATCGGCACAAAACACAAAATCAAGACCGATCAACGCTCAATCCAAACCATTCCCTTACAGTAAAACCAACGAACCAAATCGTCTACCTGAGATTCTGACTTTCCCAGATGTCGCCATAGATATCAGAAGGCTGTCCCCATTCGATTCGGATGTGAAATTCTTTGCCTCCACAACGACATCACAATTCCCTGTGAAATCAACATTGAAAAAAACAACAAACTCAGATAATTAAAAATGAAAAATATATTTGAAATTAGCTGGGAAAAATCGATTACCAACGGAGATGGCAGCTGATGAGGGGAGCAGATGCGGTCTTCTTCCTCGCCGAGCCATTGTAAGGTGTTAAATCAGAACAGTGTCTTGCTTGCATATGTATTGTGTATATCCGTCGAGCGCTAAAATTTTGGCAGCCAAAAAGAGAGAGAAAAAAGATTGAAAATGTATTAGGCGGGAAAAGGAAGAACAGGCGGGTTATTATTTACACTTGAAAACAATTTTGGTGATGCTTAAAAAGTAAAAACAATTGTGAAATTATATTTAAATAATTATGTGATGCTTAAAACTAGTGTGATATAGAATTTATTAAAGATGTATTGAAAATTATAGATATTTAAAAATACGTGAACAGATAAATAGTGGATTAAAGTTATTGTGATGTATAATAATATTGATTGATATTATTTAATTTTATTGGCCACATTAAGAAGGGTTGAGTTTGAAAGTGTTAAAAATTATTCGGCTAGTCAAAATCGAATTTAAGTAGTCAACCGCGTCGTTACAGTATTATATATAAATATTAAGGTTGATATATAAACAGTAAAGTTGATATATTTTAACAATATCATACTACAATGACGTAAAGGATGACTATGATATAACAATTTATGATAATATAACTGAGTAACGATCTTATTACTTTACGCATCATACTAGTACAATATTTGTGTACTACATGAGTGTTGAGTTAGAAATCTATATCTATATATATATATGTAATTATTGACTCATGATCATTTAATAAAACTCTTTGCGTTTTCCCGCATTTTTCCGTTACTTTTGCATTAATCACA